TAAAGGAGGAAGACAATGGTCCTATACTGCCCTTGGAGGAGGAACGGAAACTTTTGTGCTGCATCCACAAAGCCTGCATTGTCTGTCTTCATCTAATCCAGCCTTGATGAACGTCGGTGACAGTTGCCCGGGCACACACGCTAATGAAATATTAGAAATGGCTGTATATTCAAAGAAATCTCACATTATATATCCACATCACTGCTATTAGTATTCATATTTTTGCACATACTATGTATTGCTTATGTGTAGAAGGAATGAAACTAGTTTTCAGAGCTGTTATTAATATGAATATATATGTGTATGTGTATATATATATATATATATATATATACATATATATAGCATGTGTTAATATTGAGACAGGAAAAATACATTCCCAGCATTAGTACTTTTTTATTTTCTGTCTCCAACAGAAAATTCACTCATTCAGAGAATAGTGTAATTCTTGATAATAAAAGTTTTGGTGAAGAAAAACATAGAGCTTCAAAATGCAATATGAATATTTAATAAAACTGATGTCTCCCGTTGTTTTTCAGCACCCACACCACAGTGGATATTGGGCTGCTTTGTCATGGGTAACATATTGGGAATTAATGCAACAACATAATACTTCACATATTAATTTCTTAGTTAAAGGATTTAATAGAATATTTGAATCTAGTTGTATTTATTTGACATTAGAAACTGTGGTTTCTATGAATTTGGGAAAGATATAAGAAATAAACTAGAAAGAAGGTGGGTAGGGGGTACCAGGAATAGCTTTATTTTCCATGAATAAGAATATAAATTTAATGTCATATATTAATTTAATGTTGTACACTTTGTAAGACTTTAAAGGTTTTATTCATTTTACTTCATTTCTTCAGTATGTCAAAACATTTCTTTTGTGGATGACCAACAATATCTTTAATTAATTTTAAGTGCTACTTGCAAATTTCAGCATATGCTTAATTACAGTTAGAGGTGACAGAATGAGATGATTTATATAAAACAATATAGTGTCTGGCACACATGTGCTTAATAAATGTTATTTGTTGTTGTTATTGTAAAACCAGTGACTTCAAGAACACAGTCCCAATGTGATGCAAAATATCTTAAGTTAGAAGTAGAAATAATACAGAAGTTACGTGTTCAGGGAATTTAGATGTGTTGGGTAGAGGTTGTAATAATGAAAAATTTAAATACAATTAAAAATCACAGCAAGTACACCTGAAAACAGAAGCAGAGATGGTGCATTTATGAGTCTTGGGGTAGGCAGAGGAAAGGACTAGAGCTGGGACAATGCGATCTGCATGTAGTCCTGGACCTTGTCAGGGAAGCATCAGGCCGGGCCTCTGCTAGATGGGGAGAGACTCTGAGTCTGCCTTTTTGCATTTTCTTGTATACAAAAATGAACAAATGGCAAAGCGTGGTTACCACAATTGTGATGTATTTAAATATTTACATTTTACAGACTAGTAGTGTTAACCACATACATGGCAAACGGTGGCTGCAGACGTAGCCTTATTTGTAGTCAACATCGAAAGACTATCATCAAAGACTAGATATGATGCCCTTCATGAATGAGCAGCCAGCCCAAGGGCACCGCTGGCATATCTTTGGTAGACCCTCTGTTCGGGTTCTGGATAAAACAATATTGAGGCACCCAACGTTTCCAAGCCTGACGGTTGGTACCTAGTAGCCGGAGAA